GGATTTGACTAACCTGTTTGTCCATGTGGAGGCGGAGCTTATAAGGCTGATTTTACCTGAAACTCATCAGACTGAAGAAGTCTCTTGGAGGAGAGACCAAACGTTTCACTAAATTAGAACCCATCCAGACGACCTATTTATTTTTTATTTTTGTATGATGTATTGTTTCTCAAGAAGGAATTAAACCTTTATTGATTTTCTTTAGTTTTTTTTGTACGTTGTAAATTGAAGATTTTTTAATTGATCAAAAATAAAAAATAAGTAGGCCCTCTGGATGGGTTCTAATTTAGTGAAACGTTTCGTCTCTCCTCCAAGAGACTTCTTCAGTCTGATGAGTTTCAGGTGAACTCAGCCTTATAAGCTCCGCCTCCACATGGACAAACAGGTTAGTCAAATCCAATCAAGCCTATTGTTAGTCGATGGCCCTATTTTGCATTTGACTAACCTGTTTGTCCATGTGGAGGCGGAGCTTATAAGGCTGAGTTCACCTGAAACTCATCAGACTGAAGAAGTCTCTTGGAGGAGAGACGAAACGTTTCACTAAAGAAGAACCCATCCAGAGGAGCTACTTATTTTTTTCTTTTTGGTTTCATTCTGGTGTGGGACTCCCATTTTTGTGAACTCATATTATTACTTTACCACCCAAATCTACTCTACATTCTTACGGCTATATGGCATTCAGTTGGCAGTTTGTATACGATACTTTTATTTACAGCAGCCTTTTTGTTGCTATATGTTCAAAACTAAACAGACTTTTTTCTTACATCTGTACCAACACCCATGGTCAATATTTTATGAAAGGTTGTTGATCTTTAAGCCTTTTGCCGCAAATTGCAAGAATAACAAGGCCATAAAAAATAAACCGTAGTTTAGTCAAAACTGGCAACTTCAGCAGTTACATTTCGAAAGAAAGAAAAAAGTTTACATTTTCTGCTTTTTACAGTTGCAACTTTTTGGGATTTAGAGTCCTTCTGTCGGAATGCTTCCTCTCTTGTGTCTGTGTTCAATATGTGTGGCATCAAGCTTCTCCTGAAGGGCTTTGCTCTGTGTTGCAATCTGATCTGAGAAGAAGAATTTATACCACTGGAACCTTCTGTTGGTATATTTTTCTCTCTTTATTTGTATGGTGTCTCTCAGTCCTTTGTGTCCCCTGTCTCCTTCTGTCTTGCTGCTGCTCCCTCTGAAACTCAAAGGCCTTTGTCCAAAGTTGTGCCTCTCTCTGCATCATCTTCTTCCAAACCTTTTACTGGAAGCTTCGCTGCTCTCTGCTGCTTTTTTATTGGTTCCTTATAAGTGTGTGTGTGTGTGTGTGTGTGTGTGTGTGTGTGTGTGTGTGTGTGTGTGTGTAAAGACATAGATGATTTTGTGTTGAGGGCTAGAGTTTCCTGCCTACCTGTGCTAAGAAGCAGGAGGACCTTCATTGACAAGAACTCATCGTATGTTAGCTGCAATCGAACAAACTCCTGGCTCACTTGTCTCATGCCCAGACACAGGTCGTACATGGCCGACTGCCGCATGCGGTCCCTGCAGGGGAAAAAAAAAGAAACAACTTCAGCTTTTTAAAATGTAACGACTCTCTTACATTTAAGAACTGTGTTCGGTTTGGATTACTTTTACTATTTATGCTAAGCAGTTATCCTCTCAAATCTGTTTTTATGTATTTCTACCAGGTGAGCTCAGCCCAGTGAAACTGTATTTCCACAAAGTGCAGAGGAGGATCTTGCTTGTCTGGGCTGAGAGCAGAATACCAAATCCCCCCAGATTGCAGAGAGCTGCATACAGTATCGCAGCACAGATGCACCTCTTTTATCCAAAGCTGTGGCCGTTCAACAGAGGGCCTCGTATCTACAGTCACCATAGAAACACATGTAAGACGAGATACTCCAAACAGATTTATGTTAACAGCAAGAATCTACTCGTCTATAGGTTATTAAACAAGCCTATAAGAGTCCAAACTACAGCCATGAGGAGATATACACTAACTACTCATTCTACCAACACTTCCTCGCTCTTTTTCACAGACGTTTTTATCAGTAAAATTATCTAGGTTATAACAGAGTTCACAAAAACAGGAAAGAAATTGTGAAGGGGATAAAGCGCAAGCCAATGAGGAACGTGCTCTGCAGATGCCAGAGATTTTCTGGTATTGGATGCTGCTTCCCCTCTGCTGTAAATCACCGTCACATCAGGACAAAAACATGATTAAATGCAAACAGCATCCCTTCGACTCGGAAGCAGATGGAGTTTTAACCACGACACACAAAAAACACATCATTATCTTGGCTGGAGGAGTTTGGAGATCAGAGGTTGAAGATGAAGAGAGCATTTTGTTGAAAGACTGCTGATTGGAACCAAGTTGTTTCTATTAAAGCATCAAATAGAATAATGTATTTTTGCAGTATTCACTGTTCAGCTGTCAGCTTCATAAAGTAACTGATAAAGTGGAAGTGGTTTCCCTGCGGAGCAGCAAAACTTTTCTTTTCTCTTCTTCTCTCTCTCTTTCTCATTCTTTCTCTTCCTGAGATCAATTTTGCTGAATCACTGCCCAAAATGAGCTGCTGGTTTTGGGAAGGTTAGAAAAAAAAATGCTGCAATCTTTTTCTTTCTGTGTATCTACTTTTTTCTATCTCTGTCTTCCTTTCACTGTTTCTCAGTCTTGGACTTTTTTCTCTGTTAGTACACACAATAAAATAAATATGATAACAGAACATAAAACTTTAGAGAAAAACTGATTTTGACATAAAACATGCACAAGAAAATTTCAACCCACAACCTAAGATCAGTTTTCAGTTGAACACCAAGCATTCGCCCATGTCAGAGTTTCAGACGAAAATCATCTCAAGCTGAGATGCGACAGAGTTATAACAGTTTTGGTTAAACTTTGTAAATGATGTTATGTGTGATCTCATGCAATATTGTGAAATCTTGTGTGACATAAAACAGGATTGTCGATCTGCAACTTCTGTACAAATTTTAACTCAACAGCTGTAAAAGTGAAAAGTTAAAGCCATTTTTGCGTTGGCTAGTGCTGATTAGCTGTGGCAGTCACCTTGACTTGGATTGAATGTTACAGACATAGACACTGATGTGTAGGTAGTGACTACATTTTAAGAGTTGTTTTAAAATCCATCTATCTGAGTGGTTTATGAGATATTTTGCTAACAAACAGACAAGATTGACTTGAACACTTGATGCCAACATTTTTACACAAAGATGTTTCACAATGTGTAGCACACATGAGTTGGGCATGACTCTTGGTTACAATCATGACCAATTTTAGCTCAGTATCTTCATCACAACTCAAGATAGCTTCCACAGCTAATCAGCATTAGCAAACACAAAAAAAATCAGCTGGTATGTAATTTGTTTTATAGCATTTTGTATATTAATCAAATTCTGTGAAACAACTTTTTATTGAAATATGCAGTCATATTCTGCCTCTATGTTAAATCACCATGTAGTATCGCACTACTTGTGAATCATAAACAGATTTCTGTCTAATAAATGTGTGCATGAACTATTTTTTAAATTGCCTTATCAACTTGGGCCAATAGGCATTCAGTTATTATGGAGACAAGTGAACAATATCCTGTTACCTGCAGACTAAGTGAACTTGGCATAATTATGACCCCCTTTTGGACCCAAATATTGGACTTACTAGTGATCTAAATGGTAGACTTGTGCGCCTTAACAGCAAGAACCTTGGTCCAGAAATTCACAAGAGTTTGATCAGTTACATCAAGGCCTGGCCTTAAAGTTTAGCAAGAATGTGACAAAAAAATGCTCTTTCATGTGATCACACCATCGACATCTCTTCTCCGTCAGACCTAATGTCAAATTTACTTGGCTAAAGGATTAGTTCACCACAAACTACACTCACCGGCCACTTTATTAGGTACACCACGCTAGTAACGGGTTGGACCCCCTTTTGCCTTCAGAACTGCCTCAATTCTTCGTGGCATAGATTCAACAAAGTGCTGGAAGCATTCCTCAGAGATTTTGGTCCATATTGACATGATGGCATCACACAGTTGCCGCAGATTTGTCGGCTGCACATCCATGATGTGAATCTCCCGTTCCACCACATCCCAAAGATGCTCTATTGGATTGAGATCTGGTGACTGTGGAGGCCATTTGAGTACAGTGAACTCATTGTCATGTTCAAGAAACCAGTCTGAGATGATTCCAGCTTTATGACATGGAGCATTATCCTGCTGAAAGTAGCCATCAGATGTTGGGTACATTGTGGTCATAAAGGGATGGACATGGTCAGCAACAATACTCAGGTAGGCTGTGGCGTTGCAACGATGCTCAATTGGTACCAAGGGGCCCAAAGAGTGCCAAGAAAAGATTCCCCACACCATGACACCACCACCACCAGCCTGAACCGTTGATACAAGGCAGGATGGATCCATGCTTTCATGTTGTTGACGCCAAATTCTGACCCTACCATCCGAATGTCGCAGCAGAAATCGAGACTCATCAGACCAGGCAACGTTTTTCCAATCTTCTCTTGTCCAATTTTGATGAGCTTGTGCAAATTGTAGCCTCAGTTTCCTGTTCTTAGCTGAAAGGAGTGGCACCCGGTGTGGTCTTCTGCTGCTGAAGCCCATCTGCCTCAAAGTTCGACGTACTGTGCGTTCAGAGATGCTCTTCTGCCTACCTTGGTTGTAACGGGTGGTTATTTGAGTCACTGTTGCCTTTCTATCAGCTCGAACCAGTCTGCCCATTCTCCTCTGACCTCTGGCATCAACAAGGCATTTCCGCCCACAGGACTGCCGCTCACTGGATGTTTTTTCTTTTTCGGACCATTCTCTGTAAACCCTAGAGATGGTTGTGCGTGAAAATCCCAGTAGATCAGCAGTTTCTGAAATACTCAGACCAGCCCTTCTGGCACCAACAACCATGCCACGTTCAAAGGCACTCAAATCACCTTTCTTCCCCATACTGATGCTCGGTTTGAACTGCAGGAGATTGTCTTGACCATGTCTACATGCCTAAATGCACTGAGTTGCCGCCATGTGATTGGCTGATTAGAAATTAAGTGTTAACRAGCAGTTGGACAGGTGTACCTAATAAAGTGGCCGGTGAGTGTACACACACCATGATCATTTTGATTACAGACACCACTTGCACTTACAGCTTTTCTCTGCACCTGGACTTTTTTTAAATGGGACTCTTTCACAGGAAATGAAAGACAAAATCTTTTTTTATTTTCAAAAAGGACTTTACTTGTTGAAAAAATGCTAAAAATGTATATGATTTTTTATGTACTTGGCAAGTAAATAGAACCAAGTGCTGTAAAAAGGCACAAAGTGATTTTAAAAAAGGAATTTAGATTTTGTGTTGCACAAATCTTTTTCTTCATTCATGTGAGACAAACTGACCCAGTAACACTGACTTACACAAGCTATTATTTAGAACTTTTAAACCTGTCTCTGGCCTGCTCTTCTACATCAGGCTACCTGCAAAGGTTACGCTTCTGCACTCTGATAATTTCATAACATTCAATTCATCAGCAGCTGTGCTCTGAAGCTCCAATCAGATTAAAGGCTCGTAGCTGCTTTCCTTTACCTCGCCCTCTCCTGCTCATACAAATGAACACAGATTAAGTGGGTTTTTAAGACTCAAGTGAGGCTTTAATGCTTGCAATTATAGAACCACCATAAAGCATAAATGTACAGTATTTTGCCACAAAGCAGCTGGGTTACCTATCAAGCAACATCATTGCTCCAAAAAACAATTCTAGTCTAACCAATTTCATTTTCTGTAATTGATTGCCTAAAACATTGCAGCAGGAAATAAAACTCCGTTCTGAATTTGAATACATTTATATTGATGAATAAATGTCCTTTACAGGAGCTGAAAAAAGTGTAGAAGCAGTGAAGCTCTTCTACTCAAGCTTGATTTTTAACTAAATACTAATTGCCCAGTCTAAAAAAAAAAAAACACTGAGTTTTTCACATTTGTGATAGGTCTAATATAAATTAGCTTTGAAGTTACATTGTGATATAAACAAAAGAAAAAATGGGAAATAAAAAAAAGCCTGAACATAAACATAAGCTGCCAGAACCTCTAGGGTAAAAGAAAAGGAAGTGACAGACTTCACAATGATGTTACATCAACTGTGACAGAATGGGAGTGAGACTTAGCCAACCAAGTTTAGAAGTTAGAATAAAAGTCTAACAGGATAAAGAGGGAAAACAACAATAACCAGAGCTCTGCTGCCAGTGTTGTAGTTAACTTTACATTAACAAATAACTTAAACTTATAGAACTTGCATATCCTTTTTCATCATATATCAGAAAAGACGTAACCCTTAATAACATAAACTTGAGTATATAAAGTAGACAAGGAAATGAGCTTTTGTAAAGCCACTAATTCACTATTATTTAGCATTTACAGTATATTTTACCCATAAAACAGGTAAAGCACAGACATATTTGTTTTCTGACAACTTAAATAGTCCAAGCAGGCAAAGACTAAGTAGCAACTGCCAAGATGGCGGCACACATTCTTGCCTCCTTAGATCGTGCCATTCTAGTGAATTTCTTTTTCAACAGACTCAACCCCAGCAGCCCTAAACAACACAAGGCTGTTCCAGAAATTGAGTACATTAATTACATTTTCTAAAAAAAAAAAAAAAAAAAACAAAGGATAAAAACTTAAAACCCAGCCAGGTGAAACTCTGAAGGTCATCAGCATCAATGAGGTCACATGACCTCAGCTCTCCCAACTGTAATGTTCTTATCTCTTTAGGTGAATCTGCAGGAAGTTCTAGTGCATATAACATAAACTTATAGAACAACTTTACAATTCTGGATTTATCATTTGTGAGGACAGTTTGTATTTGAACTGTTCAACATAAGACATTATTAATTGGTTAGTCACGACCACTACCAATTGTTAAGTCTTATATTCAGGTGCAGTATGCTGCAGAAATGTAAAAGTGTAAACCTACTCGTTAAAGATGAGATCCGGAGCAAAGTAAAGCATCTGTCCGTTGGTGTGTTTGTAGGAGCGCCAGCTGAGGCAGAAGGAGGACAAACACATCCATGAGTACTGGATCAGGGTGATCTGGTCCTCAATGGGCAGGCCACGGAAACCTAACACACAAAAGTGCACACATACAACACACGTGGATCAGGGTGGTCAGAGAGAAACACTGTTAAAAAGTTAATTTTCAGGGAGGCATCTAATACTCTAAATAGAAAATCGATCACTGTGTGTTTTTACCAAAACCAATACATTAAATGCTGCTTATCTTTGTGTAAGTTTATTTCTTTTACCATTTTTCACATTGACATGATAATCACTGACAAGCATTCACCCATTTTTATTTATTTATTAATTTTTTTTATATGAAAATCCCCACCAGGCCTGCGGTTATTGGCATTTTGTCTACGAAGCTCCGAAAATAGTCAGATAGGAAACTTGCCAAACTCTCAATCAAATGCAGGAAGGAACCTCCTCCTCATGCAGAAACATGGGTCTTTTCAGGATACAAGTGACTTATCGAGACTCGGGGACTATTTCTGTCTGTATGCATGTCAACCTGTCAAAAATTATTACTTACTTCGAAAAAGATATGTTGAATTTCTGACTCACAAGATACTTTTATTGACAGATTTAAAATGTGAAAATCTGAATGTTTTCTTGTGGCTTTAATGTAACTAAACATAAGATAATAATATCAAATATAATATAATTATTACAATAATATAAAAGGAATTATTATAATATAATATCTAAGGAAATTTGTCTTTTTTGAGAAAATGCAGTATGCTGAGTGACTGCTGAAGTTCAGAGCTGAAACTGAATTGTTAAAGTTAAAACAAGCAGATCAAAAGCAAAAAGTAGCAAAACTGTAGATAAAAGCATAGATAAAAGTTAAAATTGGCAAAAGTGTAGCTAAAAAATAAAAGCTGCAGTATGCTCAATGACAAAATGGAGCATAAACAGACAGAAATAGAGCGTTGTAGAGGAACTGAACAGATTTAAATGCACTTCTATGAAAAAACATTTTGTAAAATAAAAAAAATAAGTATAAAAGTTACATACACACATATACACACCCACACAAAAACATCATAGTACATTATTTATATAAGAATCAAATGTGCTGATGATGGAAATGGTTAAAACAGCACAAAAAAGTAGTTTTGGAAAAAAAATATGAAACTATGAACTGTAAACATGAAAACAACTGTGAAATTAGAATCAGTATTCACTCAGTTATAGAAGGTAGATGGTATTAAAGCAGCTCCTAACACCTTCTGTAACTAAAGTAAATGTCAGGGAGCATTATTTCTATTCTTCACAGTGTATTAGCCGTGCCACAGCTGTGAATGCAGTCTGTAGCAGATCTGAAAGTCCAAGGTACTCTTTTTGACCCTTCTGTCTGGCTTCTATTTATACGTCCGGATATAGCAAGCAGACACTGTGGAGGTATCAAATATTTGCAATACAGCAAATTAAAGAGGCTCAAAACGTTATCTGTGAGGCACCTTTGTATGCAAACATCTGACTTTAATTTTAGGGAAGCTTGTTTATCCTTTTCCAAACATTATTCTTCTCTTGCAATGCGGTGTATACATCAAAAATTAATTAAAAGGTTTTCTGTCAAACACAAAATCTGACAAGGCCATGTAAATGAGTTCTGCTTGGAAGTCCTAATCTCCTATTTAATGGGAGAATAGGATTCATTTTTAATCTTGTTGAAGCTTTGATGAATAATTTCCTGACCTAATATTTGAAATGAAATGAAATCTGTAGTAGTGCTGCCTGTTCAATCTAAATCAAAAATGAAATTCAATACTTATTTTCTAAAAAAACAAAAAACAAAAAACAAAACAGATTAGTAGCTAATTAATATGATATTTTTAACCTCTTTGCTCTTTTGATTCTTCCACAAATTATCATATTTATTATTGCATGTTAATAGATAAATTCAGAAGACATTGCGTAAGAAATGCATAAATTGGGCAGTTTCAAAGACTGTAAGAGTAATATCAAAAACATTTCATAATAATATGTATATACAATGTATATGCATATTATTTATGTATTATTTATATTACATATGTATATTATACAAATATAACTTCCAGCACCTTTTCTATTTTGTCTGAGACATAATACAACTTGACAAATAATCATTTTATCTGTAAAAAGTAGCAATCAAATTTAAAGCAGACTTTTACTATTTCATCTCCAGTTGCACCATTTTAAAAAACACATTTAGGTGTTTGTGGCTGTTACCTGGAAGTACTTTGGCCCACTTCACCATGCGTACCATCTGCTTTCCGGCCAGGCGGTTGAGACTGGACAGCAGGTGGTCGGTTGTGTCGGGCTGCGTGTTGTCGTAGCCGGAATACACCTCTTCAGGCTCGATCAGCTCCAACACGCTGCTGATGGAGGGGGGCAGGAAAGGTGCGACCACCCCGGGCCCGTGGGGCACGAGGGCATTGGCAGCGCTGGTGTTCAGCTCCTTTTCTGAGGACAGGTAACCACCTCCGATGCCACCTGAGGCTATCTGGCCATCTTTAGAGCTCTGCAGGTCTTCGCTAACTCCCTTCAGCTTCAACTTTTTAGATTTCCGTGCTGTGGAAAATCACAATAATGTTATAAATACAATGCTATTGTTGGTTTTTATGGGATCATTTTTGCTCATTGCTTTGAAGGATAGGCATGTGATTGTCTGCATTTTTGGGTGGATAAATGCTAAACGAGTATAAATATTTGATTCAGTTGTTCGTCAATACTACAAAAATAATTGAAAATAAAACTAGCTTAAAGTATGTGTTGGGAATGACCCCCAGCAACTACCACACTAAATATAGCTCAGTATTTATATAAAAAAACAATGAACCATAGACATTTTTACTTATTCTGTGTTTGATACATTGTGGCTGCTATTTTAATTTGAGCTGACTCTAAAAAGTAATCAGTTGTAAATGCACATTCAATAAATATTTTCTGAAAAAATAAAATAAAATCCATTCATTAGTTTACAAAAAAACATTGTTAACAGGCAGACAAATTAATTTAGAAACAAGCAGTTATATAATCATCTGCTGTCACTTTAGTATAAATGCATAAATGCACACCTAATTAATACACACACACATATGTAAATATTTCTATCTATCTATCTATCTATCTATCTATCTATCTATCTAT